AATGTGATTAAGTTAGAATTAAGTTGGCAGGAACAGTGGATGGAAGCTCGGGAACAACCTTCATGAGTTCGGCGGGATTGTTTTTAAGTTTTGTTCACATGTCGTTTTTGTTATGAAATTCTACACAAAAAATGTAATTGACGATCATAATCAGATTACAAGTGCTTTGTTTTTATCTGAATTAAAAATTGCTGTTTTTTACAAACTTAAGAACTCGAAGGAACCATTAAATTATGGGCTCTATATTATTGTATTATTTCAGTGAGATTCAGTACCTAAAATAACCATTCAGAGCAGTTTGTGCTGTCCTTCTTCACTGACCTTCTCACCGTGTCTGGTGCTTCTCCACGCAACTAAACGCTAGTTTTGTGTTTGAGAACTCACTCCTGCTGTCCAATTGATGTGAACTAAGGGTTGCACGTAAGAAAGAAGGCAATGTAGACATTACCTTTTAGTTGGACGCGCCGACACATTAATCTTCATGATAATGCTTCACAGCGCACAAGCTGAAGTTCTGACATTAATCTCCACAGTGTCTGCATTGGTATGAATAAGAATGATGCACCAAAAGTTCTTTTTGCTGCTCCAAAATTGTCTTTTGGCTGCTCCAAGAGCTGCTCCAAAATGACTCGGACCAATCACATCACTGCATCCTAGCAACTGGCAGTAGAAGTTTCGAACAAAAAAAAAAACACCAGTTAACGTGAGTCTCCCTGTCGTCACAGCGTCCCAACATCTGACTGCCGGAGCTTCCGTGGATTGACACATTGGACAACGACCTGCAGCCGAACAGGCGTCTGCCACATCAACCGCCACTGCTGTAACACCACCAGGATCGCGACCGGCGACAGCGTGACACTTCTATGACGTCATCAAACAAAAATTGAGGGACCACTTTTTTTTTCTTTTTTTCTTTTTGACGCGGTAACGAACGCAGCAGTTTTAGACGCGTCCCATACTTCGGCAAATTAAGGGAGGATCAATTACGGCGTTCCAAGAGGATCGCGAAACAGCATATATACTTGCAGGATCCTTCGAGAGTGTAGACGCACGTGGCACTTTCTAGCCTACATTACACGTAATCATCTCTTCCCAGTATCCACTGCAAAGACGAGCGCGCGCACCAGCTCGAGGACTCGGGAATGCAAACTTTTCCCGCACCATCGCTCCCATTACCCCTTTACCGCCTTCGGGTGGGCAAAGCGGAGCGCGTCTCATGGCTCATTATTTTCCGAGTTCATTAATCGCGGCATCGGTTGTTTGTTGATGGCGCCGCGCTCGAGTGAGATTGGATTAACCTGTTATTTGCGAGTAATTAAGGGGTGCGAGGCGGCCTCTTGTTTGCTTTTCGCCTCGCTGAACATCGCCAGCGATCCTGTTTCGACGCAACACGTTTGCGGAGATTGCCTTCGACGGCGTCGGCGATTAGAAGCGGCGGCGACGGCCCTCGACGCGAATTTGCGTAAACGGCAATGACGGGCGGCACTGCTCGCGAGACGTGGCAACCGGTTGGGCGCCATAATGCGGTGCAAGCGCGGGCCCCCAACCGGTGTATGAAGATACGAGTGTCAGTTCTGCGTAGGCACGCAACCAATCTTGTCACGCGCAAAGGAACCGGGTGCGACTCCCTTTGATATATGGGCAGCAGAGTGCACTCTTTCGCTCTAACCAATTTCGGTTAGAACGAAGCACTCTGCTATTACGTTGTCTCCCCCATTCGTTTCTGTCACTTCTTTTTACGTCAATCGTAAATAGATTTCTTCTCGCTTTCATTCTCATCTTACACAATAACATCTTCTTTACTACGAAAAAAAAAAAGTGTCCGGGTTTATGTCACCGTGTAGGAGCAGGCTTTGAAGCGACCTGCCTCTTGGAATCAAATCACTGGCGTTTAGAGCGGCATGCATATAAAACTGTAACTGAGGATATTTCAATCGCCGACTTCGAGAAATATTCTCGAATTTGGTTTGATCGCATGCATGCCTCGATTTTGATATTGTTGGAGAAGTCCACAACGTCAGCGTGAACCGCGCGTAATGCTGCAAACTTTCAAACGTCTCCGAGTGTATACTACCTCGCGATTCACTTTGAAACACCAGTCCCTGACCTCACTCCGAAAAGATCAGCCAATGAGATTGGCGATCGGTTATCGCACTTTAATGACCATGCAGTCTTATACCCGATTCACACGATCATAAAGGTTCCTTTAGCTAAGGGACCTTTATGATCGGGGGCGAATCACTTCGTGATGCTCCGCGCGTGGCATCTGCTCGCGACTCAAGAGCGCGGGATCATTCGCCGATTGGAAAGGGACCTATGTTAAAGGTACCTTTATGCTTGTCGTGTGAATAGGCTATTACACTGACGGAAGGGGTGCACATATCTTGTGCCACCGAGGGCGAGGAGCCCGACACTGCTCACACCTTCTAATAGACTGAGCTGATTCGAGGGAGATTGATTGGTGTTCCAACTGTATCGCGGGGCAGTGTATCTGCAGGAGGTACTCAGTGTGTAGAGCAGTTGTGCGACCAAACGCCGTTTTTTGGCTCGGCTGACAACTTCAACAGGCTTAGACACGGAAGTCATATCGTGTCTGCCCAGTTCACGCCGGTGAAGGGGGTGCCAGTATATACACGCGGAAATTCCATAGACGGTCCTGATACCTGAATTGGTTCCTTTCGATTCATTATATACTTTGCCGAAGATATAGTACGCTCCCTCCCCCCCCCCCCCTTTCCCCTTTACACTTTTTCTTTCTTTGTGCAGTTGTGTTATCTCGGGTCTTGATCTTGAGCAGGCACCCCGTAGCGCATCCGCAGTTTCTCTCGAAAGGGGTCAGTATACCTTCGCTTACAACTCGTCCCACACGGTAAGGCGGAACGCGTCTTTCAAAGCCCCTCGCAGTGCAGTGTTGCCAGCGGGGTAGAAGGAGTGTTTGCCTCCTCCCTAACCCTCGCAGGCCGGGTGCACCCCTCTTTTATTTGATGAAGACGTCAGCAGCTGCACCGCACCGGGACGGGAACCTGCAATTTCCCCCTCCTACCATCGCCCCGCCATTTAATTATACGTGGCGTGCCCGTGCCGTGGCCGCGTTCCACAAACGCCTGCAACGGACGAAACTCTATCCGGTCATCGTGACAAATTACCTCGTGCTCGGGTGCTGGGCTCGGAGCGATGGACGCGCCTCCGTTTATACGCGAGGACTTTCACCCATGATCGGAAAGAAAGTTGTCCGCTTTCGAACGTATCACTTTACAATCAGGGAAAAGAGGGCACGCGCGTATACTTCCCCGCAGCACGCGGAGAGCCGATTACTGTGTGCACTACGCTATTTCGAACGCGTCTGGGGTGTTTAGCGTTCCATCTATCGCATACACAAAAAGGGGTGACGGTGTGGTAACAGATGAAGTCACAAAATTTGGTACACAATGATGGGAGCGGCATATGAGCCTTTGTAGCAGCATCTGTAGCAGGCAAAATAATAGTTTGAAGCACCTTCTGGCGTTTTTTGGAGAAGGTGCCAACATCTAGCTGTCCGCGCAGAACTTGAAAAAAAAAATTAATTTCATCGCTAAATGAGTTTATTTATGAAAACGGTTGAGGGTTCCTCTTTGATACTGGACCCTATGATTTCTTGCCGTTTGTAAAATTAATCGATTTGGCGTGAAAGTAACGCGGAGCATTCGTTTTAGAAATAATGTTCTGGTCAGAGTAGGTTCCATTTACCTTGAGTAGTCAAAAATGGTTGAAAAATGAATCATATAAAACCTCCCTCCCCTCCCACTTCTACACCCGGTAGTTTTTTTACCCCGTAAATATAAGTCCTGTAAAATTCCCGCGAAAACCAGCATATCCGCTAAAGTATGTCTATCAATAAGCATGCATCCCCTCCCCTTTCCAAGTTTTATGAACCAACCAAACTTGATACTCAAACATCATGCACTGCACGAACAACCGCTCACAACTATTATGAAAACCTACACTTCCGCTTTAAAAGTGACACTGCTCTTTAGCGGCGTTAAAACCAGAGTTAAATGAAAGTTTGATTCTCTCTGGATCGACGCTGCACGGGAACTATCTTGACTACCTCATCTATTCAAATATATATAAACCCGCGTTTTTTGTGTGTGTATTCTTGCGCACTTTTTTTTTTTTTTCTTTAAATTAGACATGAACTTAAAATCAAGACGAAGAAGGTATACTTGGAGAGGCCTGGGCATAATTTCCGAGCCTATCGCGCTGAACCAGGCGCTCAGCCATGTCAGGGGCTGCTCCTAGCACTCCGGTGTAAAGTGGCAAAGCTCGACGCGAGCGCGCTGGTGAGAAGCGGCCGCCGGCACGGTGGCATGCGACAGACATGATCAAGTGATCGCATCAGGACGACAAGGCTCTGGTTCTGTCTTATTAGCCGTCATCCTACTAATGTTGAAATGTTTTCTCGCGGCGTTCAGCTCCTGACATCGCTGACATCGTCTATAAATTTAGACGATGTCGGCGACCAGCCCGCCAGCGCATCAAGCGGCCCGCGCGGCTGACAAGCAATATCTAAACTGCGTTTCACCTTAATTCAAAGCGCAGCCGACTCTACGAGTGAATGGGGCCAACCGAACAGCGTCAAAACGCGGAATCATGGCATTCGTTCATCATCGTGTGCGTGTTCTTTTATCGACTAAACCAATCAAGTGCAGCCAATGTCCCTTGACTTGCGCTTTTAGCGTGTGTGTTTGTGGTTGTATGTATCAGCGACTGTGCTCTGACCTAAGATGAATCGAACTCTACGTTGAGTGCTTATACATTGTTAAATACGTATTTGTATTAATTTAATTTCCTCTTACTTCCCTGGATACTAGGGCCAAACAATATCAATACTTTTCCTTTTTTTTTTCTTTTTGTTTTGCTTAGTAAGTTTATTTTGGCACAGGCGTGGTGAAAATCTTAGCAAAAGTGGCATTTTGGCGCAAGATGTAGCACACTTTCGTTTATGGCGAGATTTGCCGCAAATGTCGTGGTACTTCCATCACTGGGAGTGCCGTACTGTTGAATGTCGCGATCCTGACGATTGGGTGCAGATGTTCTGTCAAAAAGTATAAGCGAACGGGAGTGTGACTGTCGTCGCGGTGTACCTACTCATGTCTGTCAAAGCTTCCTCTAGATCTAGTGGGGATATCGTATATATCTGTCATTCAGCATTGCTCATTTGGAGCAATCTTCCGGCCAATTTTCTCATTTTTCAAGAATGTCGACCAATAGTTGACTTTTCTAGTGCGTCGCGGTTCGGTATATATAACCCATGGACTAGGGAAGGTGTGCCCCAAACTTTCGGTTCCGAAGATGTTCCCTAACAGTTTCTTCTCGTCTGCCCCTTTGCAGCGGTCCTGGAGATGAACGCCGTGGCCGTGAAGCTGTACAGCATCCGCGGAGTGGTCAGCAAACGCTACCTCTGCATGAACCGGAAGGGACAGCTCTCGGGACAGGTACGCCCGGCGACTCCTTCCGCCGACAGCTTAAGACTCGCGGTTCTTCACTTATCTTCACGCTTGGGCATTCGCTGTTCGGCTTTCTCATCGTCTAATGACGCAATCCCATTGACTGTTTAATAGAGACTCTCCGTGTTCTGTAGTCCTGATTCTTAAGAGTCGCTGTCAGGCTATTCGTGTGGAGAACGAAAATGAGGTCGGCGTCGTAGATTTGTTTATAACACCACTGTTGTGACCCTGCTCATATTCGAGTGTTGGGCTCGTAGTAAATCCTAGTATATGTGTAGTAAGTTCGTAATTGAGATAAGGGTTATGGCGCAAGCTAGCTGGTGAACGTTCATATCTAAACAAACGCAAGACAAATGAAAGGACGAACACAGCCAATGATATTGCAGAATTAAACAATAAGTACGCAGAAAAACAAATTACGAAACAAAAACCCTGAATATGGTTGTCCAAGCTTTGCGCATTTAGCGCATTCTCCAACTGATGGTGTTTGTGAACAGTGCCCCGTTTTAGTACACTCAAAGTTCCGCACGTCTAGCCGGTTGAATGACACGAATATCATCGGGTGCGCTAAACTAGTGTCAATTTATATAAATGTATAATTTGTAACCAATAATATCACCGCACTGATTGGTTATTAATAACCGAAGCCAATCCCGAAGCGATGCTTGCCGGTTACGGTCGGCCACAGGCTGCGGTCACAAGTATCCCCCACGGAGACGAAATCAAATGGCGTGGGGACTAGCACACTCTTTCGAGTTTCCGTGTCGCTCCGAACGCCAATCATTTTTGATCGGTGGCAAGTTGGCAACCAATGAAAAGGACGATCGGTTTCAGGTTTTAATGGGAATGCGGTCTTAGTGGCAGCTAGAGAAGCGTTCACCTTTTGCGCCACTCATATGGCGTGCCCACTGGATCTTGATACCGATCGAGCAGATCGGAAGAAGATCCATGATTGTAGTTTCGTATTTATATCGGGATAGTATGCACGCAGAAGCTTCTGAGAGTGCGATCAGAATGAGTGAAGGCTTAGTGCTCAGGTTCTTTCTTGCGAAGAGCTCGACCAGCGTGCCTGTATTTGTATTTCTAGAGCTGTAAGTATAGAGGCTATTCTTCGATGAACGATTTAGCTGTACTTAGTCTTCCGTCGTAGCTCTCAACTCTTACTTGCACTTCTCCGCGGTTTGTCATTCTTGTAGCGCGTAAACCGAAACATATTTTCTTTTTTTGTCGCCCTGCATTTTTCAAGTTTTAACCCACCGTGTTTTATACTTATTTTTAATCGTCAAAAGCAGCCAACAACCAATTTTGCGGTCATGTTTTTGGTCACCAGCACTGAACGAAGCATGTTCCCTTTGTCAACTGAGAAACGCAAGATTAAATTTCGATGCATATGTTGAGTGCGATGTGTTAGTACGCACCTGTCCTACAAAACGGTTAGCCTATGAGCCAGACATCCTAAATGTCTATAAACCTCTAGTGTTTTTCTTTCTTTTTTTTCAATTTTGTTGTTTGCGAATTTGTGTCTCTATAATGTCTCTACCTTCACGACTTTGAGGGGAATGCTGGTTTTTATTGGCCCGATGGGACGAAGCCATTGGTCTGTTTTCGTTAGGCCACAGCGACTCTATAACTAAACTCCACAGTGAAGAAGTCTACGCCGTATACTTAGGTTCAGAAGGCAAGCTGTTTCGAAAACTCCTCGGCTGCACATCAAATCGACATACTAGGATATTCCCATGGCGTTGAAACCAACCCGCAACATGAGCAAGATTAAGAGAAGTAGAGCCAATACCAACCGGGCGCGTTTTAAACCATTCGAAACAGTTTACTGCCACATCGATGACGCTTCCTGTTTTATTACTCGCCCGAAGAATCCGGGAAAAAATAGTTAAGGTTGCAGGTAGACCCGTTCGACAGGTTGGACTCGCTCAGTACGTGCAAAGTGGGCTCCAGACCCCATGCAACGCGAGAAAAAAAGAAAAAAAAAAAGCGAGATCTTTTTGGGATATTCGATTGCCGGAGGGGGGGAGCGAGACATCGAAAATCTTCGGGACTCTTCGCAGAGTACGACTTCCGGTAACTGCTCCCGCACAGAGCCATACAGAATGAGCTACACAGTCTCCGGCGCGTGCAAGCGTGCGGATCGGAAGGCGAGCAAAGCGTGCACTTCGGTTCCGGCCACTGCCGGTACCCCCCTTATCGAAACGCAATATGGCGATGCCCTTCCCCCGCCCCTCCCCCTACGCGAGGCCCGGGCGGGCAACGTTCGGGCGGCACGAGAGCATCAAAACAATGCGCCCGTGATTGGCAGTACTCGGAGTGTTCAAGTTCAAGGAACGACGGCCGGGGGGGCCCCACCATTCCTCGCGTCGCCGCCGCCGCCGCAACGTCGACCTCCCGCCGGTGGCGTCAATCAGATAAGCGGCAGTCTGACGACGCGTCTTCCTCCGCCGCGCTCGTGCACACAGACACGCACAACAACAAGCATGTGCAGTGCGCACCCCTTTTTCTACATAGAGACGCCCGCGGAGAAGCCAATGTAGACAACATTCGTGCAGCCCACATGTGTCTCGCACCCCTCATCCTCGCGTGCAGTATTGTCGTGGGGGGAGGGGACGACCGCCGGGGAGCAGCTCTCCGCGGTAGAGCGCCAGGCAAATGATCTCTCCGCTAGCGAAAAATATTGCTCCGTGCGCTGTTTGCGCCGTGTAAATATTGGGGTGGAGAAGTTTATGTAACAGAATTACCTCTCGAATAGTACGTCATGGCGAGTGAGGTACGTTTTGTGGCCTTTGGGAGTGCTCGCCCAATCGTGTTATAGTACAACTGGAAAGGGGGGTACACACGATGGGTGTTGCCAGTTTCCAAGGAGCAGTGCACGCTTTGAGACCCCTGAGAAGAGTGTGGCTAACTTTAATCCGTTGCCTGCCCCTTATGAACCATAAAGCCCAACCACGAGTGTGACTCGCGTTTCGGTTTCGGCGCTCGTTTAGGGCGCTTTCTGGCAGATGGTAAAACCACCCCCGTTGCTCCATTTACCTTGGGTAGTTTGCTCGTTTGTTTTGTTGTTCGATACAGAAAGGACGCTCCGTTTATCCCCCCTCAAAAAAACACTCGCTTGTGAGTGTCCATGCTAAAACAACGTGGATTTGGTGTGGATGTGCGCTTTAGCCAACGAAGAGATTCAAGAGCTTTTTGAAAGAGAAGAATGCTCGGGCATATGGGACAACGAATCCTTCCGCCTTTCCTATCTTTAGGAATCAGACGATAGTTTGATGGGCAGTTACAGGAGTGATGAAAACGGTGCGAATCCTTCAAGCAAAGCATTCTAATAACTTCGGCGTCTTTGCGTCAGTTGGACTCTGACCAGAAGTGCTGATTTAGAGGAACATATGACACCTAAAAGTCGAGGAAATGTTTTTGTTTTATTTTAAGGCAAACTGCCTCTTTAAAATAAAAGTTTGCTGTACGTTCCTCGAAGGAAAAAGTGTGTAGGCAACGAGTTAAACTGCCTCGATTCATTGTTGGATTTTTTAATATAAACACCAGCCAACACGAGTGACCAAGAGTACTTCCCGAAAAGGACATGGCGTCTTCCAGTTGATGCTAGCTCTTTACACCGCTGTTTCCTTTCTAAAACCTGCATCGCTACACCACTACTCTGCGCTGCAAAGAATGTCTTGTAAGAAGTACCAAGTGCGCCTTTTATCTAGATATAACTTCAAATATATCCTTTATAAAATAAGTGGGACTTCCAGATCGATTTTTCTGTATTTTAACCCAGTCTAACTTACAAGTGGACGAGGTTGGGTTCAAAGTAATAAAAAAAAATTATAAAATCCACAGTGGTTTAGACGTTACTACACTCAGGAGGCGAGTCTGCATGGGCTAGCTCTCAATGTTATGCGAAGACTGGGAACAACAATATTTCATCAAGCGTTGGGCTAAACACATTCGCTAACGCTTAGCTGGAGAAAGTGTTCCTCCTGCTTGATATCTTACAAACAATTTGTATCGCACAGAAATGACACTTGTATGGCGCTGCGCACGAATTAGCAGAAAGGAAAGAAGTAGCGTGTATTTATACCTCTTGACGTGATATCCGTTAACCAAATATTACGCGGCTCTTCTGCGTAAAAGACGGAAAGCCGTCCGTCCCTCTGAAGCGCTAAGTAACAGCTTGCTTGGAACCAACTGGCCGATTGCAAATACCGTTCGGGGGGATTCAGGGTACTGACTCAGCGAGTCGACCATAATCCTGTCAATTTCGAGAACGTTGCTAGAGACGTAACGTAGAGAGACACTCAACGCGGAAGAAAAACGCGGGACTCCGTTTCTTTTCTGAGAATAACGGCCACCAAAAAGCCGGTTACTCGATACAAATCATCGCACAGAAAAAAGAAAAAAAAAGAAAGGAGTGCAGCAAGCTTGGAAACGCTGGCGCCGAACGACAAACGATGTCTCTCCCAGACCAGACAGCGCCTGGTTAGAGAGCACTCGGGGAGACTTTCTGGAAGTCGACCCGGCCATTGATTCACGCTAACGTCGCCTCGTCGTAACTATATCAGACCGCCCAAGGAAATGGTGCCCCAATACGGCAGACGAACGGGCACGCAGACGCCGAGACGCGAAGGAGGGAAAGGGAAAGAGCACATTACCGGAAGTACCCGAAGATCCGAAAACGAACGCTAGGGGGGGGGGGGGGGGCTTTTATTTTTTCTTCTTGTTGCTGCATACGTCCGCCGGCATTGTAGTGCAGTTAGTGTGTCTCCGCTCGAGCGTTGACCCCCTCGGAAAAATCGATGCTTGGCCGTGTAGTGCACTCGACCAAACAACGTGGCCAAGTACGAAGCAGCAAGAAAGCGGAGAGCAGGTGCGGTGTAACTTCCGAAAAAGGGAAATCCCCGCAGACCCTCGAGCGTTCCGCCGTCCAGACGGTCTTGATGAGAACATCCGAGCCTTTGTCGTTAGCTTCGCTAGACGGTCTA